TTTTTTTTTTTAATTTTTATCTTTTTAACCTCATCCCACTTCCATTTTCCCCATTTAAAAAAAAAATTCTGATATTCCTTTTTTTTATCTGTGGGTCTTTTTTTTTTTTTTTTTTTTTCCTATAAGAGACATCGAAATTAGTCCAATTTGTGGTGTTAATCCAGGCTTCTTGTTTTAGGAAGCTTCAGTTACACTCTGACGCCTTTAACCTCTGAAGAAAACTGCTTCAGAGTTATTCCAAGCACTTGTGCAACAACTTTGAAAACACCCCTGGGTGGTGGGAGCTGGGGACAGAGTTCTGGAAGGATGCCACTATGTCCTTGCGGCCCTGCCCGAGGGGCGCACTGTGCAGTCTTCCCACGGTGGCCCTGTGACACACGGGCCCCAGGTTTCTCGTGTAGCCGTCTCCTCAGTTCTGTTCCCTCCTGACGTTCAGAACACTCAGCAGATTCCTTCGGTGACAGACTTTCTGTTTCTAAAATGTGAAGCTTTAGGACCAAATTGTTAGAAAGCATCAGGATTACAGATTATTTGAGTAGGTTTCATTGGATTTCAGGACATTCAGCATGACTCTGAAAGAAACTACTATATGTTTTATATATAAATAATTACTGTTTATGATAGAGACCTTGCTATGGAATATTTAGAGAACCATTGTTAATCTTGAAGCTAAAAGAGTATCAGGTGAACTTGAACAAAACACTATTGTAACAGCCGGGTTTGGCAGTGTGCAGAAGCTAACTCTTCTCTCTCATATCAAAGTTTGTAAAACTGCTGTGGAACAGTGGAAAATAACACAGATTAAACAAATATGAATTCCAATATTTTTTCAAGACTATAAGCTGGCTGTCTTTAAGAATGATGATCTATCTGAAACAGTTTTCTACATGATTTTCTTTTATTTTTCTTTCTAGAATTTGAGATGAAGTAATTTTGGATATCTTGTTGTACCTTGTTTCTGTCTTACTCTTAAACCTGGTGACACTTGAATTGCCTTCTGTTTATTTCAAGTGTTCACATTGGGATTTCATTGGAAAGAAAGTAAACCCACTGTCTTTTGTAAATTCTGAATACAATTGGGAGGGCTGGTAAAGCTAAGAGAACCGAATAGCTGGGCTGAAATACTGTAATGTACGATTTGTATTACATTTGGTATTCTGGGAGAGAAGAGTAAAATTATACTTTAATAGGCGCAACTTCTTATAGGCAATACATTGTACTCTTTCTAAATTCAGTAGCAATTTTATCAGTGCCATTGAACTCTGGGTATATTTATGATTTTTTTCCAACATTGAAAACAAATTTACTTCTGCCCTATTCCTGAAGTATCTGAAAGATTATAGAATATTAACTAAAAATGAATACATCATCACATTGAAACTTATTGTGAGGTGGGCCAGGGATTTAGCTCAGTGGTTCCGCCATCTGCCTTGCAAGCACAAGGACCCGAGTTTGATCTCTGGTACCAAAAAAAAAAAAAAGGGAGCAGAAAAAAATCTTATTGTAAGGTGAGCTTAGGCACTGTTTATTGATAGCCCTGGCACTGGGGCCAGATGTATATTCTCTACCCAGATTTTTGTTGAATGAAACAGATTGATTGAAAAGGCATTTAAAGAACAGTTGAAATTCTAAGATTAATGTTTAAAAAGCTTTATACCCGTTTACAGTTTGGGTGCTTCTTTCTGCTTTTGTTTGATGAAAACTGGCTTAAGATACTTATTTGTAAAACCAAGAGCAAAAGTGCACCGCCTTGCCAGGTGACAACTGCATTGTGTCACCTTGATCGAGTACGAACATTCATTACACCAGGGGACATTGAAGACTCAGCCAGGGAGGTGAATTTCTCAATGAACCAGTTGTTGAAATTATTGGAATTAACTGAGCCAAAGTGATTATGCATTCTTCATCTATTTAGTTAACATTTTGTATCATTATATACAGTTTACAGTACATGTATAACTTGTAGCTATAAACATTTTGTGCCATTAAAGCTCTCACAAAACTTTCTCTGTGGTTTATCATCATCGCATGTGTTGCCAGGGAGTTTGGGAGGATGCAGGCCTTCCCTGGCATGGAGTCCTGGGACCGGACCCAAGGTGCCAGGCCCCAGTGCCGTCACCATGCACCTAGCGGCTACGTGCAAGGCGCAGAGCACCTGTAGTCAGGGCGGCGCCACCCCCAGCGGTGAGGGTGGAGCTGAGCCCTTAAAGGCAAGCAGGTGGTGAGCAGGTGCAGCGGGGTGAGCCGTGTGCCCGGAGGCAGTGTGGTTCCTGCCGCCCTGGAGTTGCTCCCCAGCACCAAGGAAAGTGTGCCATCAGCCGCTGTCCTTGGATTCAGCAGGGAGGTCTGAAAATGAGTGCCCTGCCCTGAACACGGCCATGTCTGGGTCATCGTCCCCTGATGCAGCGTGGTAACTTAAACTGGGTGAAGTGTTTTATTAAGAGGTGAGTGAAAGTGCACCCGAGGTCTGCATCAGCTGTGTGTGGACATCATGCTGTGCGGCAAGGTATCGGGTCCTGGGTTCCGCCCGTCGGGGAGATGAGGGGCGGCTGGACTCCCCTTAGCTTGCTTTTCCCGAGGCCCATCTACCAGAGGCTCCCAGCTGCCTTGCCGGCTCGCCCCAGCAGTGTCCCACTGACTCCATACTTACCCTCAGCCACCCCAAGACTTGTTCTAAAACACAGATCTGGTCCTGTCAGTGTCACCTGAAATCCAGAATCCCTGTTGTCTTGACTAGAGCTGCTGGGCTGGCTTCTCCACCCCTACCTTCTCTGCTGTCATCCTGGGCCCTGGAAATGCTGCTCTGCTGCCCACCGGGTGAGGTACTGGCCCTCTGGAGGTATAAGTTCTCTGTTCTTCCAACCAGTGCTGTGGGTGCAATGACCTGTTTCCCCCATCCGAGCTGATGGGGTGCGTGTCACTTGCCATGTATTGAAAATTACTGTGTTCTCTCTTCAGCACACAATGGTTTTGACTGGTTTTATTGAATTTGAAATAACCTAGACATCAGAAACGGTGAACTCTAAGGCCAGTGCATAAAAATAGCACCACATTTTTTGGGGAAAAGAATTTATTTTTGTACCAGGGATTGAATTTGGGACCTTGACTTGTGAGGCAGTGGTGGAACCACTGAGTCAAATCCCCAGCCTAAAATGTTCATTTTTGAGAGGAGGAAAACGAGAAGTGTTAAGGATGGATGTCAGGTCATGGGAACTGGAAACCGGAGGTGACGTGGCTGGAACTAACTGATCTTTGAAGTTCCGGCTGAGCCCACAATCCTCTGTTCCTTTGTTCCTCACCCAGGCATGAGGATGAGGATGATACAAAGGCAGCTTCCTGGAAACAGAAGAGAAAATATCTTGGCCAGTGGTAGACGCTTTCCTGGCAGACCCAGGCCCTGGGTTCCGTGCCCAGCATTGCAAAAAAAAAACCAAAACACTGAATGGGGACCGTGATTAAGTGGAGCTTCCTGGCTGGAGTCGCAGCCCAGGTCCTAAAGTGAGAAGGCTAGACCTTGAGTCTGGCCTGAAATTCAGCCTGCAAGAAAAGCAGAGTTGGAGGCTACTGTGCATCAGCATTCCCAAGGAGCTGCCCTTTGGGAGAAACTGCACCTCTGAGGACTTCGCTTTCACCACGCACTGTGGGGCTGGGAGTCAGCAGCGGCTGAGGAAGGAGCCAGCGCTCCGCAGTATCCTGCACCCACGGTTCCAGTTCTGAGAAGAAGCACTGGCGGACGCCAGCCTCTTCCAGGACGGTGAGGTGGCCATCGATGCCCGGAAAGTCACGGCTTCTAACCCAGCCCCAGTTTCGCAGCGCCGCATATTCTTAGAAATAGTCACCCACATGACAGAGGCCTCAGGAGGCGACAACCCACCGTGGCAGCCTGACCAGCAGGGCTTGTTTCGCTGTGTATTTGGTAACACCGGCAGTCCTGGTGACAGACAGCCTTTGGCCTTCACAGTCACCATTTGGGCATCACTTGCTTCTGCATTGGGAATCAGTTTAAAAAGAGGAATCCATATGCATGTCAACTATTTATGAAAGTTGATTTTCATATCATCTGTGCTTTTGCAAGTGCTGTTGCATTCCTGCCAAAGAATTCATATTCTTGGGCGAGTAAGTTAGGTTGAGAATAGCATGAAACTTCTGCTGGCTTCCTGAGGTGCCAGGGAGCGATAGGGTCAGTATACCCTGGGCTCTTCTGTTCCTCATCCTCTTCAGGAAGTGAAGTTTAACGTCCTGGCCTGCCCTGCGCCCGTACCCTTTCTGGGCGAGCAGCCCCAAATTCTTTTGGTTTGAGTCTACCTGGCAGCCCTGAGCTTGGGACAGCGGTTCTCAGCGGAGGCCCCTCCCCTCTCCTCTCCTGCTGTTACTCTGTGAATTTCATTGTTTTCCCCTGTGGGAAAAAAAGAGTCCTGATGACTGTAACTTGGTGAGCGCAGTCTTAGAGGAATTTCCAGTATTGACCAATACTGTGTTCTCCAAGCTTCAGTTTTACCTCTGTGATGTGCCACTTACATGTGAGGTGGATGTGAGTTTTAACAATCACTGCAGCTCCTTTGTTCCGTGCAGCCTGCTGACTGGCACG